AGTGCTGTTCAGACTGCCGAACTGGGGGTATATGCACTGTTAAAAAGCACGTTACAGGTGCTTTCTCAAACACATTTTCCAGGGCTACTGAACTCAGGCAAGAAGGAATAAACAACGCTCCTGTTGCAGAGCAGTCCGATCCATTTCAGGTTTTACCAGATACTGGCTCTTTTGTATGTATGTAATCCAGTGGCAGATTTTTCAAACTTGGTGCCTTGAGTGAATCTGCTACATGACCACAGCACACAAAATTATAAGGATATTTAGTCTACAGCTTTTTTGCCCTGATAGAAGGGTTGGACCTGAGTGGATAGTTTGTCAACCCTAACCTGGATCAAACAGCACAGCAATGGGTGCCTGATCTATTTATCAACGTTCCCTTCACTCTTAAACCTCCAACTCACATGTCAGTTCACTCTGTCTGCCGTGGCCTCTCAAAAGGCGCTAAAGGCTTTCTGTCCTTTTCAATGTTGTAACTGGTTCTCAGTCCTGAGGTCAATGCCGGTGCTGTCTTTCCTCAGTAACTGCTACTGGAAACACTGGAGCCTCTTTACAGCCCCACGTGCTAGTCGTCTTTAAACACAGCAGTAACGTGCAACTTAATCAGCAAGAGTAGAATTAAGGGTGGCTAAGTGGGGCAGGGGTCAGCATTGCTGCCTTGCCTTCAGGTCCAGACCTGGGGTGCTGTCCGTGTGGAGTGTGCATGGTCTCCCCTCGACATGCTAGCAGATTAATTGGCTCCGGGGAAAACTGCTCATGGTGTGAGTGCTGTGTGTCCTGTGATGGACTGGCGTCCTGTCCAGGGTGTATCCTGCCTTGTGCAGCTTGCTTGCTGTGACTGCTCGGCTCTGGTCCCACCACAACCCTGAACTGGAAGATGCGGTTAGGAACTGGATGGATGGAACAAAACTGAGTTTCACTCGTTCAGATCAGGAAAAGTGACTTCTTTCAGCAGTTCCTTGAAGACTTGCATGAAACACCTCCTCAGTTCCCACAGTGCTGATAAGTTATTATTAGCACAGAACAATTACTGTTAAGTGAATTACAATGCAACTAATGAACAGTTTCATTATGATTTTACATATGACAGTATTATTTATTTTTACTTTATTAATTATTATTATTTCTACTTTTTGGTGCATTATTCAGTTTGTAAAAAAATGTAGAAAATAACGACAGCAGAGGATTTTGTGAACTGCTTCACGTCTCCCTGCGACCTCAAGTTTCCTTCTCCATGCACAGCTCACTGGAGGCACGACGAAGTGTTTTGGGATAGTTACAAGTACAAACACAATTAACTGAGAATTAAAAGGCTCTGCACAAAGACGGACTTTTCAGCTCTTTTTTTTTTCAGCTCTTGCATCTCTGTTTTCACTGGGACATGACAAATATCCAGCTCTCATTCAGCCTAGAGACGCCCTGAATGCTAAACTCTCTGCACTGTTCATTTGTTAGCTCTACAAATTAATGCATAATGCATTTTCGCAGGCGACATTATGCACTGTAATCTGCAGGAAGTGTGTGGCTCCACTCAGGGTACGTGCTTGTTGAATACATCAGCCATGTCCTGAAGAGGAGATCTTGTCCCTGTCTGCATGTGAAACGCTGGCTGTGGCAGCTGCTCCTTTTCCAAAACCGCAGACTGAACGGAGACCACTGCCCTGGCCATGGAGAGACTGGATTACCCTGCAGCACATGGCACAGTGTTTTCCTGACTGGGCAGAGAAAGAGGAGACACAGCAATTTCCCTGAGCAAACGGACAGAAGGGAGACACACCGTTTTCCTACATGGACAGAGAGATGGGAGACACAGTGTTCCCCCGAGTGGACAGAGAGATGGGAGACACAGTGATTCCCTAACAAACAGGGATAGAGGAGACAGAGTGCCTTGCTGCACTGGCCTTCCTGAACTGCTACCCCCAAAAGGGTCTACTCTGGACTCAGGGGAACTGTACGTATGGAGCTTGCATGTTCTCCCCACTTTCATGCACATTTTCTCTGGGGTCCAGGACCCAAAAAATGCAAAAACCATTAAAGACAAACACACAGAGCCTGGAGCCCTTCAATCAGGGTTTCTGATCCTGGTCCTCCTGGAGGCCCCAATACCTGCTGGTTTTCATTCCAGCCCATATGAATTAACTGAACTGAAGTCTCGATTGAACGAACAAGCTGATGGATTGGAATATTGTGTTTTCTGCTCAGACGTTTGGGATGTTGTTTTATTCTGGTAACTAAAGAGCAACCTCCGACCTATTTAAGAGCCGAAAATGATCAAGCCAGTTCGAATCAATCCTATGATTGAGTCAATTAAGCCTTCAGCTATGTAACTGAGAGCTTGGCTGGAACACAAACCAAAATATGTGAGGGTTCCCCAGGACCGGGATCGAGAGCCACTCTGTTAGAACACTCGATTGAATCCCATTCCACCCTTGGGCATAATCCAGCACGCAATCCTACGCAAGCACTGTGGAAGCAGAGGGGTGGAGCTTATACATTGGCCCCGCCCTCTTCGGCAGACTGGCCTGCGCTCTGCAATCCAGGGACGAGTGTAGCTGTGCTCTTTCACAGCAACAAAACTTCACGTCTCCCCCAGGTCCTCGCAGCCTCATCGAATAAACTGCAGCTGCTGAGCACCATCTCACCTCAAGCTCTTAAGATGCCAATAACACGCTGGGCGCTGGGCGACAAGGTGGCAGCTCCTCTAATGTTAAATTAAAGGTAAAGGCTTTGTGCTGCAAGTCGCTCCAATATATTGTAAATGCCCTTCGGGGGACATGACACTTGCACATGAGTTAGCACAGCCAAATGGGAAAAATTTGAAAACCAGACAAATTATCCTTCCTCCCATTTTATTCCCACTTTGGCCAATTCTGGACCGCGGGGCAACCAGAGCCCATTTCCGCAAGTAACAGGCATAAGGCAGGCTACACCCTGGGAGGGACGCCAGTCAGTCGCGGGGCAGACACACACAGACCTACTACCATGTCTTTGGACTGTGGTAGGAAACCAGAGCACCTGGAGGAAACCCACATGAACGCAGGGAGAACATGCAGACTCCACACAGACAGCCCCCCCGGAATTGAAGCTAGGGCAGTTGAAGTCTCATGAAAAAGGTTCTTCTGAAAGACGCACACTTTCACATCTGGATGAAAACTGATACTTTTCAAACAATGTACAGTATGGACCTGCTAAAAGTCAGTATTGCTATTACCCAGTCAACACCACTAGTGAAGAAGGCTCCACAGCCGAAACGTTGTGTTTCTTCTCTTCTCTTTGCAGCCTGGAATAAACCTTTACTTGTTCCCTTGCAGCCAACGCCTGCTGACGCAGCTCCCTACTTGAATAGCACTAGTGGCATTCATCGGAAGATTTCAAGCACTAGACACCGCTTCAAAGAGAGAAACAGAACATAGGATTGTCATCTCATCATTATCCACCTGGATTAAATTACAGGACCAGATTGCGGATGGAGGAGAATTCCTAGTTGAATCCCAACAGGCCTGTGCTCCTCAGTCTGCTCTCCTCTACAATCCAGCAGCATGCCCTCCCTATGGGATCTGCTTGCATACCGGCAAATCGTTCGCATCCCATTTTGACAAGAAATACAATCCTTAGAAGTGGCGAATAAGAAAACTGAAGGTTTTTCCTTAACCAGAACCGTAAGGACACGGGACGGGGTACGAAGGAGAAGCGGCACTGGACACAACTTGGCCCGGCCCGTTTGAAAGTAGTTAATTTAAGCCAGGATCTGATTCGGCCGGTTCTTGAAAGAAGAACCGGCCGAATCAGATCAGAACCACAGGACGGGATGAGTTTGTTCCACGCAGGAGTTCGTGGAGGAATTGGTGTAAACACAGCTTGTTCAGGAGCAAATTAACGCTGCTCTTCTCTGTTTATACCAGATAAGATAAATTGTTGTGCGGGTTGCCAGCACTTCAAACATCTTAGCAAAAGACGCATTTAAAACTCCACTGGGCATTTCCTTTACAAGTGGGAATTAATTAAAAGTGGGAGCGATTTAATTACATAAAGAGGAGTGACAGACAGCACCCGCATGCAGCGCCTGTGTTGAAGGTCTCTGCGGTGCGCTGGCACGTTAGCGGCAGTCGCAGCAGCTGAGCTGAGCTGTAAGACCATCGGACTCGCCGACCCGAACCAAGGAGGGTTCTAGTGCGTGTGAATGAACTCGAGCCGCTTCGTATCTGTATTGAAACTCCTGTCACTGTGCCAACGACCGAGCCGTTTATCGTTGGATAAAAAGATAATGCACATGTTTTTACGAAGTATGTTGTTTTTCAAACATCCGCATGAAAGGGGTTCGAATGTACCCACAGAGAAAATCATCCAGACCGATGAAACAACATTTCAGCCAGAAGATCAGACTTCTTGTCAGAATTTCTACGCGCCGGGCTCCGAGGGAATGTATCTCTTGCGACGTCGTTTCAGCACATTTCATCACGCAATCGCATCACGTTTTATTTAATTATTAATTGCATCTAAATTACTTGAGAACATTCGGCTCCCGACGCGCTTTCGGAGTCCGGAACATTTTCTTTGTCAGGTGGAAACTACCGGCCGGAAAATCAATATCGTATAGTTTCGAAATCAGTTTCAGAGAGAGAGAGAAAAAAAAACGGGAGGTGCGACCCGTTGCACTCGCCAGAAGAAACAAGACATGAAAAAAAAAATTGCACGAAGTTGTAACAACCCATTGAAATCCTCGATCGCACCGAGCGCCTCCGGTTTAGTCAAAGTAACAACCTGCTCCATTTCTGCTCCTTTTCAGGCTCCTAACTTTCCTGGACCACAACTCCGCTGACTCTGGCACGCTGCACACGCCCACAGGCACACGCGAGACCCACGCAGAGCGCGGACAACAACTCGTCCTTGTGTCCCGTCCACGCAAAACCCCGATGCGTGCGAATGACTTATTCCCCGCTGGACGGTGAACGAGCAGACGAAGACGGGGAGAGGCGAGCGGGGTGGAGTGACGCCCTTACCTCCGGCTGCTGCAGGCGCCTGTGACGGTGACAGATGGACCCCGGGATGTGGAATGAGCGGAACCGACACCCCGGTTTTCTCGCGGTCGCGGTGTTCACTCGTCCCGATTCCCCGACTCTCTTCACGCGTGCTTCGCTCGGTATTTCTCCCCCTTTCCGCCGCTGCTGGACCGCTCGCCAGCCTGCAGCATCTCCCAGCCTCAGACAAGCGCTCCCATCCCGCTCCTCTCTCCCCCCTTTAGAAGGGTCCCCCTCCGCCCCGGCCCCGTGGGGTCCGCCTCTCCCACAGCGACCGGCACGCCCGGCGGCCAATCAACGCGCCGCTCGTCCACCGCTCATCCAATCAGATCGGGGGAGGGGGGCGGGCGCACTCCTCTGGAGCAGTGATGTCATGGCACCGATCCGGGCTCCGTGTCAGGCTCGCCTCAGATGCGGTAATGAGGTGATTTCATACAGGGGTCTAGATGGTGTGACCTGAGGGAAGTCTCTAGGGGACGTGTACGGCTTTGGCTTTCTCGTCTTCCCAGCCCTTGTTTGTGCCGAGGCCAAGTTACGCATTAACGCTAAAAGCATAAGATATCCGATGAGGTCAGCCGCGGCCAAGGAAAATATGTGTTCCGTGTCCTGCTCTCAGTTGGAGGCAAACTCTTCAAATTGTACAATTTGCGTGCAAAAAAAAAGACGCGTATTTGATAGGGTTTTCCTGCATTATCCGAAGGCCGTCCACACACACACACCGCAGGACTGCAAATTCATCGACTGGGGCCAGAGAAACACTGGGACCGTGTGCGCGCTGCCTACACGCCTAGTAGGACTGTGAGCCCTGCTGCAGAAAATCATTTCTCTCCGTTCACAGCATGGGTATTTTACTGTACCAGCCGGGTCGATGTAATCACTTACAATGCAGTGGCACAACACTGAGCCTGGATGCGGATCGAGGGGTCTATAACACCGTGTGATCTCTGGCTCTTCCCCTGTCATCTCATGCGGTCGCAAAAAACACAACGCCGACCTCCAAATCAATAAGTGTGTTCGTAAGTACACAGATCGATAAAAAAGTAGAGGGCTGCCTCTAGCCTCCTGGCACCCCTGGAGTAAATACCAACGGTCACACCCGCAGAGGCAGCTACTTCTCGGGAGCCCTAATTCCGTGTGAAATGGGCAACTATCACCTTTCTACAGCAGTAAAGATCTAGCAGGAAATCTGTGGGAAATAGAGGGCATAGGACAGTATCTCAAGATGCTGTGAAAAACATTATCATGTTT